GGCTGCCCCCTGCCCCAAATCCCACCTATGATTTCCCCTGTCCAGTGCTGCTTCCGGTGGCCGGCTCTCCCCTCCTCCTCCCCTAGCTACCAGGACTCTGCTAGGAGCCGGAACATCCGGCTGCAGACTCCGCCCAGGCCGGCAGAGGGCTTGTGGGACCCGGCGCCACATGGGCACTCTGGGAGCGCAGAACACCCCGGCAACCACTCTGAGGCCCGGTAGTGTTTTCCTGCCTCGGAGAGAAGGGAAAGGCCGGTTTAGTCTAGAGTAAGACCAAGGAGGAGAACATAAGTTTAAATATATCAAAAGTAAAAAACATGTTTTCCTTAACCTCTCTGGCTAGAAGCAGCAGTAATGGGCTTAAATTGCAGTAAGGGCAGTTTAGGGTGGATATTAGGAAAAAATTTCAACTGTCAAGGGTAGATTAGGAATGGAAAAAATTGCTTAAGGAGAGAGTGTGGTTTCTGTCATTGGAGGTTTTAAAGACCAGGTTAGGATAAACAACTGCCTACAGTGTTTGAATTATTGCCTCAGTTTCTTTACTCATTTCTGTTCCCTCTCAGACCTGATTATAGTTTAATAAGTCTATCCATTTGGCATAATTAAAGCAGTAAATTTACTCTGTCCATTCAAGGAATGAAATTTGGCTGATTTGTACAAACATTAACTCATCAGCATTTGGAAGGAATGGTATATGATTTTCTGTGTTTTGTGGCCTTGCAACAGCACTAGTGAAATATGCTTTGGTCTTACCATGGCATCTACTCCACTAGAGGGTGTTTTAAGCCTGCAGTTTGATTTCGAGATTAAAACATCTGCCCAAGAAACTAGCTTAATCCCAGATTCTTATTTTGGCTACTGTCACGACCCGTTCTTAAAAGTTCCATTGCTAATATTGCATCCTCACCGCTTTAATTATAGGGAATTTTACTTGCTGCTATCAAGCTTAGTCTGTGAAAGACTTTTCATGTCTTAGTTAATTTTAGTCAATCTTGGAAAATGTAGCTATACAACATAGAAATGTGACAACTCCAACACGCACACACAATATGAGCTGTTGAGATTCACTGTTATATTTACCAACATTTCCATATCCCTGTCAGCCAGTTCTGCATAACTGTTGTCTTCATTGTCAGCAGCAGCAATGTCGCTTTCGTCTCCTTCCTTCCCCCACTCTCTCCATTTGCAATTTTTTGTTAGTTTTAGCCTTCATAAAGCTGCTAACACATAAATTGCACTTCTGCTAGGGAGCTAGATGATGATGAAAGGGAAGCTTATTTTCCTCTTACTAACTGGGGGTATTTCAGGGTTGGCACTGACAGCTTATCTGGGGCAGTAATAGTTACTTTGACCTAGAAATCTTCATTCCTGCCATCAAGTTGGTAGAAATACTGTTCTGTATGCACATTATTTCAAAAGGCTTCCTCCATGTGTGTACACAAGTGCTTACAAACTCATAGTTTAAGCCTAATCACTTGCATGCGCAGATGATGCATTTTATGTGTGCAGTTTTCATGTGTAGGGTTGGTAGTCCGTCAAATTGGTCATAAATTGTCCTTCCTTTCCCTGAACTAGGAATGCAGGATTGGTTCCTCAGGGGTGAAACATTTTTACTGAAGTTGTGCTATAGGGTTCCCAGTGGACGAAGTACTGCACAAACATACAGAGAAGCTCTGACCCAAACTGTGTACAGTGTTATTAGAGGAGACATTGAAAGGGATCAAGAAAGGAAACATTCCCTTCCTATAGATCAGGAATCAAGGCACAGATTAAGTGAACTGCCCAAAGGTCTCAAACTCTAGCTCCAGCTGTGAAGCTTGGGCTAATGATTTAATATCATCCAACCTCTAATCTAGATCTTCAACCTAAGTTATCAAATATTTGTCAGGCTACTCCACAGATATTCCAACATACCTTATTCTTTAAACTGCATTATCTAACTTAACAATGAAGGAGGCTTTTTTTTTAAAAAAAACTCTGCAGTTTTTCTGGTTCACAAAGGTTATATATACAGTCTAATAAGGTCTTAACCTTCACCACCACACATACACACGCTTAACTGCAAGTGAAGTCTATACCTTTAGCAGGCTTACTGAAAGAAATTTAGCAAATGTGAGACTGGAGTCAAAACAAGAAACATCTGAGTAAAGTTCCTTCCCCCTCCAGGGCAAGACAGAGAAAAATAGAAAGCTTTCCTTCTGTTTGCAAGACCAAGTTGCTTACATCACTAGAAGGTGCTTTGTGATGTTCCATTCTGGTGGTGTCATAAATGAAACCCAGTCCTGGGTAGTTTGATGCAGGCCCAGAAACTTTATTCTTAAAAGACAAATCAGTATGTCTATCCAGGATACAATGTACTAATGCTGAAATATTTTCAATGAAACAACCTGTGGGGATGTTTGGGTTGGGAGGAGAACCTGACTTATCACCAGATCAACGGGAAACAGGCCTATACTAAAACCGTGGAGCTGAACACTGCTAAACTTTGGTGGATACTAAGTTACACTTTGAACCTTGAGGTTCCCTCACCCCTCATCTGTGTAATAGCTGCTCCTAAACCCTGAGGCTATGTCTGCACAGCAGAGTTTTGTTGCGCAAAAACTCACCGAGTGTCCACACCTCAACCATGTTTTTGTGCAAGAAAATTTACAGTGAATCGAGAGAACAGAGGGGTTTTGGCAGTATAGGTATCCCTCTTTCTACAAGGAGTAAGCATTTTTGTGCAAGAGCTCTTGTGCAAAAAGGTATGTGTGGACAGGAAATAGGCTGTTTTTGTGCAAAACCCCCACTGAAAGAAACGCTGGTGGCCATTCTGTTAATGGCAATCAGAGCTTTCTTGTGAGAGAGCGTCCATGCAGTCTGAATGCTCTGTTGCGCAAAAGTGCATCGCTTTTTGGATGCGCTTTTGCAATGTGGACACACTTTTGCATGTTGTGTAGTTCTGAATCTGGCCTCAAGAACTTCTCCTGACAGGGGAAACTTGAAGGAAGGATTCAAGGAAGAAGATTCTGCACAGAGTAAGGGCACATTACACAGCAAGCCTGTTATTTCAAACTAGTTTCTAAAATAACAGGCTTTTTATTTTGAAATCTGTAACCCTCATTTCATGAGGGCTTAGCTATTTCAAAATAGGGTGTGTGTCGACGGGGCTTTAAAATTAAAAAGATTTCATTGTTTCAAACCAAAAAGTCTTTATTATATTTGCAGGAGAGGGTAGGGCAAGGGAAGAGGGGGTGGGGGAGGAAAGGCACAGAGGGGTAATGCAGAGGCTCCTTGAGGGAAGGCTGGGGGAGAATCTCACAGTGTTCTTGTCTGAAACTCTTCCCTCCTGGATGTGCACAGCCCCCAATGTGCAGGCTGAGTGGCAGTGGTGCATGGCTGCTTCAGAGTTCTGGTGAGCCTCTTGTTGGCTGTAAGTTAGAATATTAAGATCAAGGACATTATAATCAAAAGGACACTAAAATCAAAATGGAGTCTTGAGTTTTACACAGAGATCAAAATGGAACCCAAAGGACTAAAAGACTGTACCGCCGAAATTCATCATCTGCACACAGGACATGGCGGTGCACACCGCACTAAAGTCTGCACCAGGAATGCTAATCTGCACCTGACACTACACCTTGTGCACAGAGACACTCCTGCTGTTTTCCTGCCTTGGGATCTTTATAAGCTCCTCCCCTGAAGGGATCGGGTTCTGCTGTTCTGTTCTGCTCTGCTTGCTCTCACTCTGCTCCTGGTGAAGAAGAGCTGTGGCGAAGGCCAGGACCTACTTCCCAACAGACCAGACCAGACCAGACTCTTTTCCACCGCTACCTATAGGGTGCATTAGCTCACTACTGTGACAATTGCCCAGCGTTGTGGGTTATAGCTACCTGTAGCTCCGGACCGAGAGCAGGTGCCTATCACCCAGTTCCACTCCAACCATTGTGGTGAAGGCCCTATTCTGGAGCTGAAAACTGTTTACCATCGAGTGCTTGTGTAACCTCATACCAGCAACAAATCATCAATTGGACTCCTTACTGTTCCTCCCCTGAGACTGCCTATGCCAACGGGTTGAAGGTCCTGAGCCTTGGCTGTCATCTGACTCTAGTACAGATGGAGTATAGCGCTTCCTTGTTCAGTTATCTTCTATTACTTCTGGGGTGAGGGGTTGGTTTATGCAGTGTTATATTCTGGGGTTGTTCTTTGTGTTGTTACCTGTTGTATTCAATATATCTTTTAAATTTGACATTCTTGTCTGTGTTTATTTCTGACAGGAGAAATCCGCCAGTGATAGATATGGTGGTTTTCAGGTCGGACCACCTTCTGGGACAAAGGCATTTTACATCTATTTGACCCCACACTAAATTTAGTTTAGTTCAGGACTGCAGGGTCCAAGGGATGTAGTGCAGGACTGCAGGGTCCAAGGGATGTTCTGGTTGCTGAGATCCAGCTGGGTGAGGAGACAGTGAAACCTCACTTTTAAGCAGCCAAAGGTGTCCTCCACCACGATGCAGGCCCTGCTAAGCCTGCCATTGAAACATTCCTGTCGGGGTCCAGGTGTCGGCTTCATAAGCCAGGTGAGCAGAAGGTAGGCTGCATCCCCCACGATGTTCCCAGGCATGTCCATGTCCCAGTCGTGATGGTGCGGTCAGGGAAAAAAAGTGCTGGCGTGTATCTTCTGGTAGCGGCTGGAGTTGCGGAAGACGTGGCCGTCATGTGACTTCCCTGACATTAATGCCCGTGAAGCAGCCAGTGTGGTCCACAATGGCCTACAGGACCATGGAGAAATACCCTTTCTTCTTCAAGAGACGTCCCTGTGGGTGCTCCACAGCATGTGTCAGTGCGTCCCAGTGCTGCAGACTGGATTCTTCACAGCAGTGCATGGGGACGGGGGGAGCGGGTTGTGCATGCACAGCAGGAGAGGCACGCAGGTGTTGCTTTTCGCATGCATGGCCACTTTCCCCTCAGTTCCTTCTTACCATTCCTGGCTTAATACGGAGCACGGCTGTGATCTTCATTGCTTCGTTAATCCTGTAGGGAAGCAGGAAATTTTTCGGTTATTTCTTCCTTAGTTACCCTATACCTTATCCAAGTTAGTCTCAAAACAACCCTCTGCTTTTTCTCCAAGTTAATCTCCCACCGCTTGTGCTCACTGCAATGCCAGGGTCACCAGGTTTTAAATGTAGCTCAGCCTGTAATGATGTCATGCCCATCTTCAATGGACATGCAAAAATGTGTAAAATGCCTTGGAGTCCCATGTTCAACTGGACTGCTAGCACTGCACCAAACTCGAGGTGCAAATACGCAGAGACAAGGACCTCCACCTGAAAATGATTGTTACAAAAGGTGCAACATCCCTCCTCGGACCCTGGCATGCAAGGTTTTGACAAGACGAGACCTGGAAAGGGGAAAGATCCCCAAAGAAACATGCCTCTTCATTACCTCACAAGGGGCAGTTGCCTAAGCGACACACAACCAAAAGGTTTGTACTGAGGGCTGAGAGGCTGTTTCACCTCAGCACGTAAGCCCTGTGCACTTCTGGCACCGATCAGACCCTCTCCAGGCACAGTACCCACCTAACGGCACCATATCTACCTCAGCACCACAACCCACATTGGTGCTGACTGCAACTGCACCAACTCTGATACCATTCATGGTACCAATGGCCTCAGTACCGTCTACTCTGACACCAGGGAGACCTCGCCATGTCATTTATGTTTAATTCTCCATTCCTTGGTACCAACATGTCACTTCCGTCAGCGGTACCAAAACATGTCTCATCACCTACGCTTTCATCCAGCAATGATGACGAAGAAGAAGGGCTATAATTCTCACCCCAGTTATCACCCGGTACCCAAGTATCTGTGTCTTCAACTCATCCCAGTGTTAGGCATCCATTGAGCATCCCCCCAGGGGTCCACACCCATGGATGCCACCGCCCATGCCTTATGCTGCACAGTAGCAATACTGGAGCCCATAAGCTTATGACTACAAAGAGAGAGATTCAAAAAAGAAACATTACCAACCCACACCCTCTCCTCCACCTCAACTTCCGTTACCACAGAGGAAGCAGCAGGAAACTGCTGATCCACAATCTCACAAGTCGGGCCCGATTACATCCCCAGATACAAAGTCATCTTCCTCACCTAACAAGGCAGTCATGCCACCATCTTCAGCCATGGCTGATGACTTTACTCCCTTTCAGGATCTCTTTAAGAGGGTTGCAGCTGACCAGTATATCACTATGAAGGTGCAAGAGACACAGCATGAGCTCACCAGTATCCTCCAGGCCAAACCATAGGACAAGATTCCTTTGCCCATTAATTCAGCAATCATGGAGCCCAACAAAACCATGTGGCAGACTTCTGCCATAATCCCCCCGACCTGTAAGAGGGCAGACAGGAAATACTGTGTTCCCCCGCAAAGTGTCGTAATTCCTCTTCACTCACTCACCACCAAATTCTCTGATGGTGGACGCTGCCCATCAGAGGAGCAAGCAGCATCAGCCTTGATTCACCTTGGCTGATAAAGACAGCAAAAGACTGGATTTGTTTGGCAGGAAAGTCTACATCTCATTCACATTGCAGTTCACAGTTGCCAATTACGCCGCATTCCTTAGTAAATATGATTAACAACTACTCAAAGTTCAACACCTTTATTGAGGACATACCCAAAGCCAAAAAGAAGCAATTCAGGGCAGTCATTTTGGAAGGCCACGCAATATCAAACAGCTCTATAAGCTGCTCTCAACACTGCAGATACCACCACCAGATCAACAGAAACTGCAGTTGCTATGAGATGGGTCTCCTGGTTTAACTCTTCAGCATTTCCTTGGGAAATTCAGGCAACCCTGGAGGATTTACCATTCAAGGGTGAGAAGTTCCAGGTGACACTCCACTCTCTCAGCATCTACACATCTGTAACCAGAAGGAGGCAGTATAGAGATCAACCATAAAAGAGACAAAATATCCGCCTTACACCTACCAACACCAGAGACAGGACCATCAACTACAACACCACAGTCGTGGCAGGCAACAGTGTAGACTCGGTCAGAGCAGCGCTTCCAACCAGACACACCAACTAAATAAGCAAATTTGAGTCATCCATTGAGGGACCAAAAACAATTCTACCTACTCCAGAATTGTCAATTCTACCTACACCCATCATCTTCTGCCCTTTTATACCAACTAGCAGAACACAACGTGAGAGAGGGGGACTACAAACAATCCTATCAGGATACACCATCCCTTTCCTCTCTGTCCCTCCCTCCCATCCCATCTCTCTTCAGCGACCACTCTCATGAGGCCACCTTGCAACAGGAGGTTGAGCACCTCATCCAATTGGGCGCTATAGAAGCGGTCCCATAGGAATATCAGAGGAGTGGATTTTATTCCCATTATTTCCTCACACAGAAAAAGACTGGAGGACGGCGTCCATTTTTTGACCTTAGAGCCCTTAAATTCATGAAGAGACAAAAATTCAAGATGGTAACATTGACTACCATTATCCCTTCTCTGGAGCCAGATGATTGGTTTTCATCTCTCAAATTACAGGATTCCTATTTCCATGTTACTATTAATACTGTGCATACATGATTTCTCCATTTCATCTTACATACTCAACACTACCACTATACTGTCCTACCCTTTGGACTCTCCATGG